CCTACAAATGTGCGCATCTACCAGACACGCAGGACATCAGTTCTGACGGATCGCTTCCCAAATCGTCACTATCTAACATTTTCGTCTAGTTTTTATTCGTTGACGAAAATGTCAATAGATTTTCGTCATAGTCTTTGTCATTCAAAACTAGGTTTTATTTAGTTATCGTCTCGTTTTCGTCTGTGAAAAAATGTCGTTGACGAATAATTTTCGTCGTTATTTTCGTCAACGAAATTAACACTGCTGTGACATCTTCTGAACCTCAGCGAATCTATCCGCAAAATCTTTGACGGATGATCCAAAGAGGCCAGCTGGGGAGATGTGCGCGTCGAGGAACGCGGAGCGCTCCGAGTCCGGCATCTCAGATAACGTCAGCCATAGGTGTCTCTCAGCAACGGTGAGAGAAGCCATGTTCTGTCCAATGGCCTGTGCAGCGGATTTCGCGGCGCGAAGAGCCAGGTCAGTAGCGCTCCTCAAATCCGGCACGCTGAAAGCTTCCGGTCCTTCCTGATCCAGTTTTCGGAGAAGGTCGGCTTGGAAGATCTGCAGTACGGCCATCGAGTGTAATGCCGATACAGCCTGCCCAGCGGCGGAATATGCGCGGCTGTGCATAGCGGAAGTAGTGCAGCAAGCTTTAGTATGTAGCGCCGTCTTAGCTCGCCGTCCAGCAGAGGGCGGGCAAAGATGGGCCGCTACAGCTTCTTCTACTGGAGGAAGAGAGTGGTATCCTCTGTCTTTAGCACCGTCCACCACGGAGAATGCTGCTGAGACAGAGGTACGCGGTCCCTTTGCAGGAAACATCCATCTAGTCGGTTGTGCGTGGGCTGTGCGGGCGCCGCCCACTCAAGGCCGAGGCTCGCCACGGCCTGTGAGAGCAGACGCATCAGCTCGGATTCGATACTGGCCCGTTTCCCTGACGACTCGCGGGCAGAGGGGGGAGGTCCACAGAGCTCGCCCAATCCTCACTGTCCGACGCCAGGATAGAGCAGTTGGCCTCCTCTACAGATGCAGCTTTCTCGTCGGTCCATAATTGCGGAAGCGGCGGCGGACGGCGGCCATTGTCCATCAGTGAGCGACTCGAGTGAAGCTGGTGAAGCTGGCGGGCGAACCGGCGAGCTTTCACGGGCTGGAGAAGGCTCGGGGACCCGCTCAGTACGGTGCTTTTTACGGCGCGGCACTATAGAGGGCGGAAGTGCAGACTCGGAGAAAAATGCCAGGTGAGTCCTCAGAGTCACCATGGCAATAGCTCGCAATGATGGCAGCCGCCGTCAGCGAGCGCTAGAGCTGCATAATCCTTACCCAGGCAGGAAACGCAGATGAAATGGCGGTCCCCGTCGCTGAGTGCGGCTCGGCACGAGCCACAGGAACGAGGCATCTTTAAAAAGACGCTGCTCTTTTAGATAGAGAGAGAGTGTGAGTCGGATATAAAATCACCGATGCTATAATATCGGAATCCATGTGGTTTTTTACTGCTTACATGTTCACAGATCATATCCGATCTGTGCCAGATTAGAATCGGAATTGGGTCACTTGAACCATGCAATGTAAATGCGGCCAAAAACAGCTTTTTCAAATTTATACACTTCGGAGAGCATCTACAAGGGGCATCTCAGTTTTAGCAGGCCAACAATGCTGACTCAGTGTGGATGGAAGGCAAAACCTAGAGGTAAAAGATGCATCAGTTTTGACGTAGCCTGAATTGGTTGAGTAAATAATTTAATGACTCAATCATAAGTCACTTGTTTCGTTCCTGAATGAATCATATTATTTGAACAAATCATTTGAGTGAATGATTCAGTAACTCATTGACAGTGACAGTGTCGTTACTGAATTAACAAAAAAGACTGTTTCAAATTCAAGTTTTAAGTCAGATTTATTCATATACTCAGTGGTTTGGTTGAAAAGCTTCTTACAGGTTGAGTTTAGAGGAGGAAACCGCAGATGGAGAGACACCACTGATTTTGGCGACTCAATCTGGGCTGGTGGAGATTGTTAGGACACTGCTTGAGCATGGAGCTTCACCTAATAGGATCAACAGCAAAAATGAATCTCCTTTATTATTGGGTAGGTTCTTAATTGCAATTTATATAGTGTCTTTAGTGCATTTGTAATAAGTTCCTGTTTTGTTTTGGAGCTGTAAGAACAGACTCATTTGAAATCGCCTTTACACTTATATCACGAGGAGCATCGGTGAACCAAGCCTGCCCTAAAAAGTGGACGGCCATTCATGAGGCAGCCAAGGTGGGGTGTACCGACATACTTACGCTCCTGTTGCAACATGGAGGAAACGTTTCGGAGACAGACGAGAATGGAGTGACGCCCATGGGAATTGCCGCAGAGTACGCACAAGCCGAAGCGCTGGACATCCTTATTCACTACGGTAATACTGGTATTTCTAAGAAAAAAACAGAGGATGTTACTAGATATTCACAAAGGAAGAATGCAGTTACACCATTATACATATAACTTTTTAAACTATTAAACTAAGAGAATGATATCCTCCGCAACAACAGGTGGCGATGTTAATGCTCAGGCACCAAATGGAGATAGTGTGCTATTTGACGCTGCTGGTTCTGGGAATCCTGACTGCATTGAGCTTTTACTTCAACATGGGGCCGATCCTAATGTCGCCAGTCTTTCCTTGCAGCTTCCCATCCACTGTGCCGCATACAAAGGGCATTACCTGTAAGTTCAAAGAAATATGCTACTACTTTGCTAGTTATGTCACCCCTGATCTCGAACTAAAGTTATATTGAACTTTAGAACTGGAAGCCGACTAGAGACAGGACTAGCATTGAATGTTTTGTCTGGAGACAACAAATCTAATCAGAATTCAATACATTTCACTGTATATACTACTGCTTACCACTAGAGGTTTTGACCTCTAACCCAGTGGTTCAACCCTGATCAAACTCACCTGCCTGTAACTTTCTAGTAATCCTGAAGACCTTGATTAGCTTGTTCAGGTGTGTTTGATTAGGGTTGGGCTTAGCTCTGCAAGAAAGTGGATCTCAAGGGCCAGAATCGAGAACCGCTACGCTAACCCTATGTAATAAATGTTGATGAGTAACTGTCCCACCATTCTAATTTTCTTCAGAATTTTTTTTAAATCAAGTTGTACAATCTCTTTCCAGTGCCTTGAGAATGTTAATCCCAGTAACCACAAAGAGAGCACTCCATCTCTCAGGCCAGAGCCCAATTCATGCAGCTGCAGATGGAGGCTATGTCCGATGTCTGGAGCTCCTGGTGGACAAAGGTTTCGACGTCAATGCACTTCTAGACACGCATATTTCTGATAACTATGGGGACATGCGAAAGACCTCCTTGTACTTTGCGGTCTCCAATGGAGATGTGACCGGCACCCAGTTGCTGTTAAATGCCGGAGCCAAAACGGACCTGGATCCTCTGCGCTGCCTCCTAGTGGCTGTAAGAGCTGGGAGGTACGAGATTGTCAGGATTCTCCTTGCCAGCCAAGCAGATGTGAACTGTTACTTCACAGAGATCAATGACACAGTGTTTCCCACTGCCTTACAATACTGCCTGAGGGATGAGATGATGATGCGAATGCTGTTAAATGGTGGTTATGATGCAGAGAAATGCTTCTGTTGTCCTCATGATACAACATGGGGTCACTCCTCAGAACACACCAGTGAGAAGATTCCAGTAAGTTCACCACTAATGTCTCTGTTCCAAGACCTAGCAAGTTGCCAATGTATGCGCACTCCAAACGTTTGTTCCAAAAGTAAAAGTTCAAATCAACCCAAGACAGTGGACAAAGTGTTTTTTGTAAGTGTATAATCATTGAATACTTAAAAATCTAATTAAAATATTTCACACGATATATGCTACTTAAGATTGTGACATTAGCTTAGCAACATGCTGATAGCAAACTATTCAAATGAATTGTGAGTTAAATCTCTTGCACACTTTTACGAGCTATTTTCTAAAAAGCATTCCAAATATTTTCCAATATTTGTATTTTTATACTACTAAAGATTATTTGGAAAATTAACAACAAGCAGTAGAATAACAAAGTAATTCACTAGGTTTTGGAACAGAGCTGATGTATTTTAAGCTAACTTACCTCTGATGGAAATTTGTTTTCATCTGTATATGTGGCCTATGTATCTTTACTTCTATCTCTATCCTCTGTCGCATGTAGTTATGTGATTTCATCAGCGTCTCTTGGCTAGTACAGTTCTCTGCAAGAGCTGTGCGGGTTCTCCTCGACTATGTCAATCATGTTCCCATTTGCTCCAAGCTGAAAATGGTTCTAAAGAAACATAAAGAGTGGGCTCAAATTACAGAAATTTTGGGTGAGCAGTATAAATAGTTCTAGCATGGACACTTAAACTCCACTTACAAAAATATGAATGTATAGCATTAGATAACAAAATTCAAACTTACAGTAATTAAAACTATGTTTTCTCATGGATGTATTCCCAGGGAGTCCTCGTTCACTGCAACACCTATGCAGACTAGTCATCAGGAGAGAGATGACCCCACGAAGGCTGGGCGACCCGAAGTTCATAAACTCGGGTCCTTTTCCACCAGGACTGAAAAGCTACTTGATGTACAAAGAATATGATTTGTATGGAAGAATCATGTGTCAGTAGTGACGGTCTCTTCTCAAGGTAAACGTTAAGGAGGAAGCACTTTGAATTTTATTCAGAAATTAACAAGGTTGACATGACCAGATGTTTCGCTAGTTGTCCATCATGAGATCAAACACACTTAAAAGTATGAGTGTTAAGTGTTTTTAACACTTCACACTACAACGTGAATTTTGCATCACTTCAAAATGACTTTGCCTCCAAAGGAATGTCTTGGTGCTGTTTGTGCAATAAAATAATGTTCTAACGGTTGACAAAAACATGTTTATATCAGAAAAAAATAAAAAGGTTGATGCCTGTTCAATGAATTCAGACTGCTTTCTACTTGGTGCCACATACAAGTGGTGTTTATGACATTGACCATGTGATTACATGCATCAGCACTGCTAAACTGTGGTTCTAGAATGACCTGCATAATCACAATTGAAGTAACTAAAGCAGGTCATATCTATTTATAGATTTATGCCCTTTTAACATCAACAAGCATGTTCGGCAACCTGTCAAAGTGAAACCTTTGACTTATGTATAATCACAATCACCCAACCTTGTGATAAACTATCAGAAACATTAGACATATTGGTAGTTTACGGTGTACTTATCTGTGCCTGTTCAAGTACATCTGATAATTTCATCTGATAAAGATGGTTGTGATAACTTTTGAAAAGTGCAACCAAATCATGACAGTGCAATGTATGTTGGTTCTTTGGTTCCGGAGGTCATGAACTGTCTAGCTTACTATGCCATGAATATTTATCAAAAAGTCTCAATATTGCATAATGACAACTTTCATGAAATCAGTTAATTTTCTGAGGACAATCTGGGAAAAGTACGTACTGCACAAATAGGTAGACCAGACCTTCACCAGACCTTTTAAATATGGACAGCATCAGATACTGATCTAATGTGAAAAATCTCCTAAAATGACCCTTATGCATGAGACAGCCCTCCTTGGCATGTTCATCATAACATCAACAGATTTGATAAAACAAACTTAATATTGTTATTATTATTATTATTACATGGAATCAGACCTTTGGACTTTAAAAGACTTGGACTTAGGTTTAAATTCTATCACTGTTGAAAATAAAAGTCAGCATTGTACAGACTATGTACAGCAATATATTCACAATTCAAAAAATAATTTATGATTATTGGTTAAATCGAGTGTACGATTGGGGTGAAAGACAAGTTGGACTGACATAAGAAAAACAAACCTGTAAAAATCAGATATGTTTCATTTTATTTGAACATATGAAGATGCCCCAGGCTAGAACAAAATGAAAAATGTCAATTCAAATGTGACTTTTGCCAAAACAAAAATGTCAAACATTAAACGCATATAATATAGAGAAGTATTTGGACACTACACCTGTTTGTGCTTATCTAGCATTTAACTTCGAAACCATTGGCATTAATGGGTACTTAACACAAATTAGATTACTTTTAGTGGTCTCCTTAAAGGGGCAGCTCCTATGTTGTTTTTGGCCAACAGTTACTGACATGTCTCACCACTACAAAATGAACTCACATTCTTCTTGTAAGCTAATCTTTGTGTCCCCATGGATAGGCACCATCATATGCAGATACTCTGTTCTGCACCCTCCTCCCCTTAAGTTCCTCCACCAGCTTCCCAGATTAGACAAACAGTGCATCTAGTGCACCCACACACAAACTCACACTAATCCCAGATACAAGTCAGAGTAAGAGTTCATGCACACAAAGGAGACATAGGGTTACAAGTATGAGCAACTTTGGGTACCGAAAAGAGCTTGGAAAGTATGAGGACATAGATGAAGATGAACTTCTGGCCTCCCTGACCAGCGAGGAGCTCCAGGAGCTGGAGAAGGTTATGGCTGAAATGGAACCGGATGAGAACATACCCACTGGGCTAAGGCAGGAGGACCAGACGGCCAAGCGGCCAACGGGCGCTTTTTGCCGAGAGGCTCTGCTGAAGTACTGGGAGGACGAGACTCACAGATTGCTAGAGGTAGAGTCTGAATGCAGCAATTGAATAATATATTTAAACTTTGAGGTACCAGTTAAATTAAATTTTTTAATGTTTGGTCAGTACCCTTTGTAGGGTGCTGACCAAGTGACAAGTTGCACACCCCTAACGGTACTATTTGAGGTTTTCTGAGAGACTATCCGCATCCACAAAAAAACATAAAACGATGGCTATATTTGTGTAGGAGTCAAAATAGACTTGCTTAATGGGAACTCAAGAAGTCCCATTTCTATGGGAGGTCTCCACAAGCAGGGTCCCAGCTCGGGGATGAGAAAATCTACAGCTTCATAAAAGGATTAAGAATTAGTTTTTTCCCTTTATGAATTAAGTCTAAGTATCTGTGAGTTGTCCACTGAGGCCAGGCGTGTCCTCAATTCTGCTCCTGAAGGGTACTCTTGAAGACATTAAATACCTGGTTCAGGTTTATTTAATAAAGGTTGGGGAAAAAAAAACTCTACAGGAAAGTACCTTCAAGGAGCAGGATTGGACATCACTGTATTAGTGTTAAAGTTAAGTCAGGACTGTCAAACTTAGCTCCTGAGTGTAGCTCACCCCTTGTTATAAGGGGTGATTTGTGGGATAATTAGGATTAGCTTACTTTAAGAATAGTGGAACTTAATGAGCAGTTCATAATTTGAAATATAGAAATAACTGCAATAAAACATTCAAATTTCAGTTTCTTTAATGAGAGTACCATAAACTGTGTAAGAGCAACATTGCCTCCATAAAACATAGCTATTTCTTGTGCAGTTGTCTCAGCTGTTGATAGTCTTTAAATTAAGACTCATTGCTTGAGGTATGCCAGTGCTCAACCTTGTTTTCCTTTCTATGGTGACGCAGGACAGCATGGATGAGTGCCAGACAGATAAGAGCGAACAGGAATGTGGCAGTGAAGAGCCTGAGGATAATGAAGAGGAGGGAGAGCAACAAAATGAGATGTTTAGAAAGGGGGGTGATGGGGAGAAAAAAGTTAGGTCAAGCAATTGGAACTTTGTGGACTTGGATTGCAAGGGGAATGGCATTAGTGGTCGAAAACCTAATGGCATCCATGAAGGTGCCCTCCACCATCACATTTCTCCAGATAGCCCAAGTAGCAATCCCACTGATATTGATAAGACCTTGGAGAACATCTTGAGTAATGACACCTCCTTGAGTGAAGTCAACCTAAACAACATCGAGAACATATCCCAGGGGGTTTTAGTGAGTTTTGCTAATGCCTTAATCTCAAACACTCACGTTGAGGTTTTCAGCATTGCCAACACCCATGGGGATGACCAAGTAGCTTTGGCCTTGGCCAAAATGCTGAAGAAGAACTGCAGCATCACCAACCTTAATGTTGAGTCTAACTTCATTTCAGGCAAAGGTATCCTGGCTTTGATTGGGTCACTTCAGTACAACACCACACTGGTGGAGCTCCGATTCCACAATCAGCGACATATCTGTGGAGGCCAAGTGGAGATGGAGATGGTGAAATTGCTGAGGAAAAACACCACCCTGTTGAAACTAGGCTACCACTTTGACTTACCTGGCCCAAGGATGAGCGCAACTGGCATTTTAACTCGCAAAAGCGGCTACAGCAAAGGAAAGAGCAAGACAATTTGGAAAGAAGTGCAGAACAATCAAAGACATGGGATACTATGGACAACACGCAGTCTGTTCAATTCCATATTCCGACAGACAAGGACACTACGCTAGTGAAGCAGAACTTGGTCTCTTCTCATTTACAACAACCTCACAGTCAGCCAAATAGTGTGAAGAATGTGCCGACTAGGAAAATTGCTGAAATGGTCAAGCAACAAGAAGAAACAGCAATGGATAGTGTAGGTCGAAACCAGGCTAATGCAAATAAAGGACTCAAACTCACAGGGGACAAACATGGCAAGAACATTCAAGATGAAAAAATATTACCTTTGAGAAGAAAAGATGACACAAATAATCTGGGAGGCGCCCAGGGGTCAACACGTGATGATCTACTGGCAGCCATTCGTGGCAGCAGCATTGGTACACTAAGAAGGGTAAGATGTTTAACATTTGTCCAGGACATGGAGAAGCCAAGCCTTAAAAACACAGTACCCAAATATATTGCAATATAGCGGGACAGAATAGGAACTAAGGGTGTGGTGAACCCTGCCAAATCAGGTATCTTGGAAATTGGTCGCAAGAATTTAAGCAATAATTACATTTTATACCAAGAATTGAATGATTCATTCAGTGTTTTTCCTGGCTGAGATAATTTAAGTTACCATGAAATCATTAGCCAGGCAGTGGAAAACACTTCCTAGTTCAAATTTAATAGATGGACATTTTTCCGTTGTAATGTACATGCCAATCTGTTTGAAAACATGCTATTCGAAGGTTTAACAAGTGCTTATTTCTAATTTTCAATTAAAGTAAATTAAAGGGTATTTTAAGCAAAAATGAAAATTCTGTCATCCATTTACCCTCTTGCCATTTCATACCTGTATCATGACTTCACAAAAAAAAGTTAAAGGTGTCTATAGTGTGTTCCACAGAAGAAAAACACAAGTTTGGAACAATGTGAGAATGAGTAAATGAACAGTTTATTTTTAGGGAGAACTATTCCTGGTTGTTTTCTGACAGATATGGACTGTTTTCTGTAATATATTTGGTAGTTGTAACATTAAAATGACCAGCATTTTCTTTTTTTCTTGCAGGTCACCAATCATCATTGTTCCTGAGGTATGAAACAGCTCTGATAAAATTAATCTATATAATAAATATAACACATTTACTTTTGTTCTCTTTTCCAGTGTTGAAATTGACCTAGTTTTTTTTTATACATACATATTTAACAATAGCATATTTCCAAATTTCTTTTCACCAACAAAATATTATGCTCAATAAGTACAGTTTGGACAGCTGCTGTAGAACTTACACCATAATGGTAAAAATCAAAAAAGAAAGTAGTTGACATTTCAATAGCTTTGAATAGTTGAAAGCTCATTCCCATAAATTCGATTCCAACGGATCAGTCATGCATCTAGTTGGTTCATTCTGTTTGATTTGATCAAATAAATTTAGCCAAAGAAAAAAGATGTACAGGTACACAAGTATATATAAGATGGCAATGCTAAAAGGTAAAATCTACATGCACTGCAAAAATGTAGATTACAAAAAAACAAACACCATATCTCAGGTTTGTAAATATTACCATTTATTTAAGTATAGAATTTAGTGTTTTCATTCCACATTCCAACCCTTTAGTAAGATTTGATGTCAATTGTACAAATCTTTCAGCACTATCCTTAACAGACAAGGACAGAAAATTCAGTTCAGACAGACAATACTGTTAAACCAGCATTAATTGTACACAAATGTTTGTTGTTTTCTCCATGACCTTAAACGTAGTTGTCAGTCAACCATTGACCTGTAAAAGCTTCTAACAAATGTACTTTGTGAAGTGTTTTTTTTTTTTTTCCTTTTCTTTTTTTTTCTTGATATGACTGGAAATTCTATATTTGTGAATTGATGGCTTTTCACATTCAGGAGCAAGCTGTACCCATGACTTTTGCCGGTTTGAATTCACCGTATATTATTTTCTTGTTAATAAAGTGAAATCAAAAACTCCAAACTGTCTACTTTGTGATGTGCAATGTAGTGTAACGCTGATCGTGATTACCACAGAAATCATATTTAGTGTTCAGCCAATGTGTTCTCATCCTGCAGTGAATTTCCTTTTGTTATTCGTGCAAAAATATATATAGCCTCAATATATCAGCCTGGTGTACATTTACAAGGGAAACAATACAGGGGACATACATATTCTGATAGGAGAACCTCTTACCAAATCTAAGAATGCTAAACTAGGATTTGAATAAGAAAATCGAAGGTACAGAAAAGTAGGATATGAAAATAGTGTTATCTAAATCATTAATCAACAATTAATAAGGACATCAAGCGTCCCGTCCATCTCCCTTCCCCCACTCACAGGGAAACAAAAACATTCAGGTCAACAAATCATGAATCCTGGCATAAAACTTCACATGGTTATTCCAGGACATTATTTTACAGAGGATAAATGACAACTTTACAGATTACATGAGGTATTGCACAGATTATTTAAAAAAAAAGAAGCAAAAAAGGCAACAAAAATATACAGCGATTTTGAAAAGAAAAAAAGAATGAGAGTAAAATTTGGGGAAGCGAGAATTTAGTATCATTTACTCTACAGGGTGGGGTTAGCGTTGCGGGATTAATCATCCCATTCGTCATCATCCTCAAAGTCTTCCTCATCGTCATCATCCTCATCTTCATCTGGGGGCCCAAAAAAGATGCATAAATAACTCATTACTTACTGACAATGGAGCTCATGCTCATATTCAAGTGAACCAAATGAAAAAGGGCCTCAACGGACTTTAAAATTATGGGATAATTTTCATTTTTGGTTGAACTAACCCTTTACTCACCCTCAAGGTATCCTAGGTGTATATGACTATAGGATATTTTTCTTACAAAAAAGCATCGCTTCGCTTCAGAAGGCCTTTTTTAACCCTCTGGAGCCGTATGGATGCGCTTTTTTTGGGCTTCAAAATCTCAGTTACTATCCACTCCCATTTTAAAGCTAGGAAGAGCCAGGATATTTTTCAATATAACTCCCGATTGTGTTTGGTTGAAAGAAGAAAGTCATATACACCTAGAATGGCTTTAGGGCGAGTAAAATTCGGGATCATTTTCATTTTTTGGGTGAACTAACCTTTTAAAATGTAGATGTTGTGTTTTAAGAATGAAGAGGAAAAAGTGATAAACTGTCATTTGACCAAAATGATCTTTTAAATTGGACTACTTTTAACGTGACACGCCATCATAAAAAGCAACGGTACATCATTTCTAGTATGTAAGCTCAAGTAATCATACTGGAACCGTCAAACCGAGAGGGAAAAAACCAAACAAATTTGCAGCCGTTGAGTGGCATGTTTAGGACAAACCTTTGAGAGAGTGAAACAGGCACTTACCTGAGGAGTGGATGGCTTTGCTCCTCTTCTGCATCACCTCCATCAGAGCTCCAACAATGCCCGCTGACTGAGCAGGGGTGGGTGGTCCTGAGTCATTATCTGATACCTGAACATTCAAGAATATAGCAATCAAGATAAATAACTGTCCCTAGAAGATTATATAATGATTGATATTATAAAAAAGTATATGGAGACTTGAGTTACACTTAAAGTGTCTGATTGCATTAGATTCAAAATATCAAATCAGTCTACAAGCAAATGATAATAGATCTTTCCTCAGAACTAACTTAACTTTTCTAACCTTTTCTATTTTATACATACAAGTTTCACCATCAATGTGATACTCGCAAGCTGTTATGACAGTCGAGAAAGAATTTGGATGCGTATCATTATATTGGATCAGTGCATTCGGTCTTAAAGTGACAGCAGGCTATAAATACCTGCGGCTGTTTATGTCATTAATGGTAATCAAACAGCAAAACACAGCTTTAACAAAGATTAATCTATATAAAATGTATACAGTGAACACTATAGTGATATTTTACATTTTAAGCCTAATTATTTTAGCCTGGATGCCAGCCCGAACCCCGCCCACAACAGTTTTTGGTCGGGAAGTTCGGTCTGGACTCGCTCCATTGAGGAGTAATTATGACCGGTTCAGAATTAGTCGGGCCAATCAAATTGCCAGGGGGGGCTTTATACGATGATGGACAGATGATCTGCAGGGACGTAATCATCACGTTATCAAAGAGCGCTTGGGTTGAACTGGTTTCCCTCACAGATGACTGCCGCTGGAGAACTGAGATGTAGAGATTCCGCTATCGCGTCTGTTGTAAAAGAAATCGACAGCGCATTCATTTCAAAAGACGAACAGAGAACTGCAATCAAGGCATTTGTCGATCGGAAAGATGTGTTTGCCGTCCTTCCTACGGGATCCGGCAAAAGTTTATTTTATCAGCTGGCTCCGATGGTCACTAAGAAGATGGGGCGCAATGAAAACCCTGTGGTCGTTGTGGTTTCTCCTTTGGTCGCACTCATAGAGGGCCAAGTAAAAGAAGCAACACTGGTTATTTTACTTCTTCTTCCAGCGTGCGTGTAGTTGAGTTCTGTTGACAATTTGCGTAGCTCATAAAAAAAAAAAAAAACACTTACTGCTTTGCTCTGATTGGTTGTAGGTCTATCCAATTGAGTGCAGTTTTTTTTTCCTGGTTCGGTTAAGACACGCCTCATAATCAAAGCCCTATGGAGCAGTATCAGACTCACATTCTGACTAGAATATGAGTATGACGAAGTCAGGCTATAATTATTCCATATCTGGACCTAAATATACTACAGTTAGACTTTACTTTATTTTTTCACTTTGTTATACTGTATCTATGCTTGTAATTAGTGAATTTTCTTTTTTTTTTACTGACCGTTCACTTGCCTTTAATAATGTTTGAACTTTATTAGTTAGGCTAGTAGTTTTTTCTGTGGTATAGAAGTACTTAAAGTGTTTACATTTGCCACCTCCCCCCTCAACATTTTTTTTTTTGCTGAACTGATCTGGGAATCAAAAACCATAATCAGTTTTGTGACCAGTTTTGTGATCCACTGAACCACTAATTATAAATGTCTTTACTGTCACTTTTGATCAATTGAAATGCATTGCTGAATAAAAGTAGTAATTTATTACAGTAAAATTTATATAAACAATTATATAGAGACAAATTCAATTGAAATATTCTGTGTACAGTTTTTATATTTAATCGCCACAAGTAACTAGTTGTTTAAAACCCGTTTTAGCTAAATGACAGGTGAGCAGGCGATCTTTCACCATTTTCTGAGACGCATCAGGATGGGTAAGCGTTTACACTCCTCACCGTTTTGAGCTGGATGCCCTGTCGAATCTGGTCGAGCAGTGCGTCACGTCCTGTGGACGACAAGGGTCTGTTGTTTTGCTCCACTTTCTTTAGCTGAGTGCCCTCCCTGATTTGATCCAGCAAAGCTGACTTCCCGCCCATGGGCGAGGGCGTCGATTCGCTGTGGCCTCCATCCACATCAGTAGGTGGAGGAGGTCCAGGAGGAGGTGGTGGAGGAGGAGGTGGAGAAGAGGCGGCTCCTCCAGATGAAGGTGGTGGTGGGGGGGGAGGTGGCATAGAGGCGGGGGCAGGTGGAGGGGGTGGTGGATGCCCTCTGCTGGGAGGTGGTGGTGGAGGCGCTCCCATACTTGGCCGGGATGGAGGAGGCGGAGGGGGAGCGCTCGTGGGTGCTCTTGAAGGTGGAGGGGGTGGTGGGGCTCCTCGCCCCCGCACTGGTGGTGGTGGAGGTGGTGGCCCGGAAGTGTGAGGAGGGGGTGGGGGAGGCGGGCCGCCCCGCAAGGGAGGAGGCGGGGGTGCTGAAAAAGATTTGTTAGCATAAAAATAAATACATAGACTCCTCATGTATTAGTATAGTTTAAAGACCCCATGAAACCAAAATTGGAATTTTTAATCCATGTCTATTAGCTTTGAAGCATCAGTACATTATTGTACTGAATTACATAAATACTAAAAATTATGATAATACTCAAATACAAAAAAAATGATTTACATTATAAATAATTATAAAAAAGAATAATAAGGTGTTATTAATGATATTTACAATTAAAAATAGCAACACCACTTCCTTTAAAAGACTAACAGTATGGTCACATTAACGAAATTTTGGTATATTTTTAGTATATTTTTAATAGGGTAGTGATGCATGAAGCAAAACTTACACAGAAGTCACTTTCAAACCAAGCAGCTTTCTGTTGGTCAGCACGGTGTACAGGCTTGAACAACTTCAACCTGCTGCGAAATTTGCGTGGAGAAATGTTTCGCCCTCACGTGAATTGTTTTAGATGGCGTGGATTCCTACTGAAATGACTGGATTTCGAACTCGAAAAGCTCACCAATGCTGTCCCACCCGCATTTGTTTTAGAAGGTTGCGATATTAGCCAATGGACCACTTACAGACACTTACATGTCTACATGTGTACCTTTCCTTCCTGGTTCATCTAACACAAGAAAACAGTGTACCCATTTCATGGGGTCTTTAAAGCTGGAGCAAGACTTTTATTCTAGAGGAAGAACCCTACCAAAGTTTTGCACCACAAAAAAAAAAAAAAAAACACCAATCAGCAACAAATGGCACTTCACACATTACTTTCTCAAGGCATATTATTAAGAGATCAAACATGTTTTTAAAAGATCAATGCAAATATCTCATGAAGAATCATGAAACGCATCCACATATACACACATATTCTCCCATAAAGTTGCATTAAATGTAGGTTAAACGGAACTCGGTTACACTTAAGATGCACTTCAAAGTGTTAAAAAAATCTTTCAAAACAACTCATGCCAATCTAATTCAGACCTCTTATACATGCAAATCTGAGCATGAAACACACGTTCTACCTACCGCTCCACTTGGGAGGACCTGAAGGAACACCACATGTATCGATCAAATATAGAAATGCTCATATATGCACCCAACTTCTGTGTAAAAACCTGGGAGGAACATGTTACAGGCCAGCTACGTTATTTTAATATCATAAAAGGATGAATTGGCCTTTGTAATTACTTGTGAAGTTTAAGATTAATTTCTGAAAGAAAATTGTACGGCATTATTTGTTGTGTGTAGTTAGAATGAAGTTGCCTTGGGAAAACTAATTTTGTCGATTCAGGCCAGACTTTCTGACAGCGCATGGTTGATAGTCAGACATGTCAGTATGAGACGGCCACAAATCGCAGGTGTTCAGAGCAGCGAGCGTCTCACCTTGTCTCCTCAGCTCATTCTTCACAGCCTCTACACCACCCTTCTTCTCAATGAAGTCGTAGATGACCTTAGACGTCTCCTTGTCTTTCAGCTGGGCCTCAGAGATGCCACACATGTCAAACAGGTTCTTCAGCTCTGGGTCCAAATTATTCAACTGCAAAACAAAGGTAAAACAGTGAGACATTCCTTTTAATAACTCTCATTAACAAATCATTAAATATTTCATAATGCTTAACGGGTGATTAGCTAATATATATTCACATAGCTATAAATATGAGATAACTTAAACATTGCATAATGGTTACCAGATCATTATTTAATGTAAATTTAAATGCTTAAATCATATGATCATACACTTAAAAATCTACAAATGATTTTGACAGATGG